CATCTTTCCCTGGTTTTGGTATTAGTATAATACTTGTTTCCAGGAATGATTTTGGGAGGATTGCTTCCTTTTCAATTTTATGGAAGAGTTTGAGGAGCATAGGGACTACATCTTCTGTAAATGTCTTGTAGAATTCAGCTGTGAATCCATCCGGACATGGACTTTTCTTTGCCAGTATGTTTTTAACTACATCTCGTGTTTCATTGGGTGTTATTGGGCTATTGGGAGTGGTTATAGCTTGTTGATTCAGTTGTGGTAATTTGTACTCTTCTAAGAATCTGTCCATTTCTTCAGTGTCTTCTATTCTGTGAGAGTAAAGATTCTCAAAGTAGCTATTGATAATCTTCTGAATTTCCACTGAATCTGTGATAATTATACCCTTTTCATTCCTTATTGCTTGTATTTGAATTTTTTCTTTCCTCTGTTTGATGAGGTTAGCTAGGGGCTTATCGATTTTACTTAATCTTTCAAAGAAGCAGGTTTTTGCTTTTTTAATTCTTTGAATTGTTTTCTTTGTCTCAATTGAATTAATTTCTCTTCCAATCTTTATGAATTCCTCTCATCTTTGGGCTCTGGGTTTGGTTTGCTCTTCCTTTTCTAGTTGCTGAAGTTGCAGCATTAGGGTGTTTATTTGTTTTCGTTCCGTTTTCCTAATGTGTGAGTTCACAGCTATGAATTTCCCTCTGAGAACTGCTTTCATCGTATCCCATAAATTCCGATAAGCTGTGGTTGAATTTTCATTGAATTGTAGATATTGTTGAATTTCTTGTTTGATTTCATCTGTGACTCTTGGTTGATGAGTAGGGTGTCATTTAATTCCTATGTATATAAGGTTTTGTTCTGGTTTCTTTTGTCATTTATTTCCTGTTTCATTGCACTGTGGTCAGAGAATATGCATGGGATAATTTCGGTTTTCTTGTATATACTTAAGCATGACCTATGGACCAGTATGTGGTCTATTTTAGAAAATGACCCATGTGCAGCTAAGAAAAATGTGTATTCAGCTGTGTTTGGGTGGAACACTCTGTGTATGTCCAGCAAGTCCATTTGTTTTTTGCTCTGGTTCAGTTCTGTTATTTCTTTGCTAAGTTTTTGTCTGGTAGACCTATCTTTTGGAGATAAGGGGGTTTAAAATGTCCTGTTAAAATGATGGTATTGGAAAATCAGATTTTTGTTTTCCATTAAGATTTGCTTTATATAGTTGGGTGATCCCGTGTTTGGTGCATACATATTTGTGAGTGTTGCCTCTTCCTCTTGAATTTTTCCCCTAACCTGTATATAGTGGCCTTCCTTATTTTGCTTAATCATTGGTGGTTTGAAGTTGAGACTGTCTGAGAATAGGAATGCTACCCCTGCTTTTTTCTGAGGTGCTGGGGCATGTAGTATTGTGTTCCGTCCTTTGACTTTCAGCCTATAAATGTCTTTATGAGAGAAATGTATTTCTTGTATACAGCATATTGTTGGATTTTGTTTCCTAATCCACTGTGCCAGTCTGTTTCTCTTAATTGGTGAATTGAGTCCATTTACATTGGTGGTTAGAATTGAGATGTATTGACTTATGGTTGCCATGTTATTTACTTGTCAT